TTTCCAACACACCTGCATCTGAGACAGTTGGATGTGTGAATATCTCTCCTCAAACAAATGGCCGAAGGAAGGTGAAAGGAGTGTTATCAATTAAATAATATCTGTGATAAATACCAGTAGACTAAAACAGCTTCCAGTCCGTGTTTTGCAGTCTACCAAATATAATGCAAAGTGGTAACGTTATAGTACGGTTTGATGGAATTATACAGCATTTCATATACGAGTTAATGTCCAATACAGTTTTTCTTGACAACGAAGACACCCTTCATGACATGAAGCTTAGGGCCTGTCCCAATACCCACACTTCCCCTAGAAATACCCTCTTGCACTTGGTTGTGCTAGTGGTGTCCCAAAACAGAACTGAGGTAGTGGAAGTGGTTTCCAACACTTAAAACTCACCCTAGATTCCAAGGGAGCCCTGACCCACACTTACAGCGAAGTGGAAGATGAAACACTTTGCGAAGTCAGCAACGTTGGCAAGTTTTGGAAAACAATTTGTTACTGTACGATCGGAATGTAGGCTACATACAACAGATGGTTGGACTAGCGTAAACTCATCAGCAACTCGGTTGAACACAGCGTCAAAATATTTAAACAAATCGACTTACCCGAACAAAATCGATCAGAACTAGAAGACGTCGTAGGCGCCTCCTGTTTTCAGCATTTCTTCTCCATTGATTCATCAGACGGAGAAGAGTAAACATAGCACACGCCACAACGTGTGATGTATGCCTGCATGTCGGCCACGCTGATTTGCATGAAGTGGTGTCTCATTTCTCAGGGAAAGATCTCTACCCTAATATTTCTCACTTCCCTCATTGAGGGTTATCTCGCAAACAAGGGCACTCAATACCAAGTGGAAGATTTAAAGGGTAGAAATGGGATTGGGCTTTAATCTTCATCATCACCTTCTTAACACAGCAGAACTGTGTCAAGTTTTTAATCGGTTTCACACATTTTTCCCGCCCTTGTTCCAAACAGATATTGCATATCTTACAGAAGGACCCAAAACTCTATTGGACTAACTGTGTTAAACAAAAGGAAAACATTTTTTCACAGCCAATATATACTACTTGTATAATTATGAATCTCTAATGCACCTGAATGAAACTTTTCAACCAGCAATCCTGCACCTTGGTGTTGCTATCTGCAAGCATGGATCAAAGAGGCATGTAAGAAGAGTAGAGACCATTCTGGGAACATTTCTGGCAATATTTTGTGTTTGAGCAGTTTGCAAACAAAATGTGTCATTTAGACACTTTGTGTTTAAGCAAATGATAAAAACTGTAAAATAGTGAACAGAGAACAAAGAGAACACTACAAACATACTCAGCAGTTCATTGAGAGCAAGAACATTGTGAATACATTAAAACAGCATTGCTCAGATATTCTGCATCACATGTAAACTGTAGGTTCTCTCGGCAAACAAACAAACAATACAATGCTATAGTTAGCGCTGCTGTAATTGCATGCCTTCATTTGGTGGCACTGATGTAACATCATGACTCAGCAATTTGGATAAAGTGCTTTCATAATGTTTTCCCTCAGCTGAGAATCTGTATCACTTGTAGATACACACTGACTGTAGAGTGACGATACTTAAGGAGCTGTGAGAGGCACTTTTTATCTGATTGAAAGCCGAAACTCGTTAGCCATGCAGCATGAATTGCCATGGCGATGTATCCAGATTAAAACAGAGCCACCTTTATGATGTGTAAAAATGTGGCTTTAGATTCAACATGCCTCTCGAACCCACTGATCCCTCTGCTGTTTGGGGAATTACAGTAATTTTATTTATGTTTATAATTTACATGCACACGTGTAAGACTGTGTTAAATCCAGATAATGAAAAGTAAATGTATCAGGAGAGGTCAAGAGGCCACAGGCTTACACAGTGGACCTCCGCTTAAAGAGAAACACAGCCACTGATACTGCTCTTAATCCTGTTCAGATTCCGAGTGTACTCTTAATTACGGCCATGCAACTACCAAACACTGGATGCCAAAACAGTCATGTGCAACATGAAAGCTTTTATCTGACAAACTCCATCAAAGTCTGACAAAGATCAGATTAAGTTAGGATGAGACTGGTGTGTCAGGTTTACATCATCACTGCATTCAAAGGACCTACTTGTGTTTAAGTTGTACTGCAAATTAAGTTTTTTTTATTGTCGACCATTTTCCAAAGCTGACAATTAATCACAGCTTTTATTTCCTACCTTCCAGACAGCCACTGGTTTCTGTTCAATCCATTAGTCTAAGAAATGAAAATGAACGCTCAGACTTGAAAGTTGCTCGAGATGGGCGATCCATCACCGTTAACACCTCGTCATGTTTTGGGTGCTTTATGATATATAGTCGCAGCAGATGTGTGAGCAGCTGCGGTGAAGCTGTAAAAGCTGCCTCGAGGAGCTCTAGCATCCCAAAGTGAGGTAACACGCTGTCCTGGCTTTTCTGTTGTGTCAAGAATTATTTTATTTTTGTCAAGGGCACAAAAGTGATCATGAGCTACTGTATTGTCGTCTTGAATCCAAAAATAACCGACCTCAGATGTCAGTCAAAAGCACTAACTGGATTTAAGGTTACCGTCTGAGTCGTAGACACTGTAGCTGCATAAATGACCATAGACGTGATGATAGATATATTTTAATAGGTGAAATGGATTATTTAAAGCTGCTAACACCAAATAGGCTGATGCTTGCTGACTATTATATTACACTGTATGTGTCATGGGTAGAGGTGTCGTATGTGAGCATTGTCAGTGGCTTCTTACACAGTTTGACACTTGCTCTGCTGTTTTCCCATTGGATCTTGGACTGGCTATGCAAACACATTTGTTGCGAGTGTGTGCGTTGTATAATGCTGAAGTGAGGGTAGTATTGTCAAGCTTTGGACTATAATGTGAAGAAGTACAGTTTAGTTACCATTACAAGATTATGCTACAGCTAATCTGACACTGAGGAAAAATTAAACCTAAGTGTCATAGTTTTCAGTAGAGTTTATTGCAAGGCTACATTCATTATATTTTTATTTCTGTGATTCTTCCCACCTCCTAACATTACCATTATCTGTCTGATTTGTTTTCTACTCATATATTGTCTCTGTTTCATACTAATTGCTGCAAAAATAAATTCACCTCTTGGCAGGGAAATGTGTGCCTCATGTAGTGCCTCTGTCGTCCACCAGAGTGTGCCCTCACTCCACCTCTGTGCGGCAGTTTTAGCAGAAGGAATTCACAACTTGCAGGCCGAGTTTGAACCAGTAAAGAAAATAATTTTAATATTTGTGAAACCACTATAACACACAGGTATCGTGTCCTATCACACCACACGTCCAGGTGGAGAACATGACAGCTCTTCTAAAAGTCACTCGAAAGCCAAGATGAGACCCCGTCTCAGTGTGTTGTATTTATAGAACAATCAGTTGCAATTAAACAATCATGAGGCACTAGACAGTGACTTTGGCAGTGCAATTTTCAGCATGCCCTTGGGCATAGCCTTGCTTTGATGGTCCACAACAACATTTAGTCTTTGTAGCATGGCAGATGGTCAAAAATTGCTCACAGAATCCACTAACATTGATAATGACACCGTGTCCCCTCATCTCGCCCCCCATCTACCTTCTGCTGGGACAAATGAAACTGGCACAGGTACAGCACTGCTACGTCACTACAATGTGGAAACAGAATCATTTTTATTCGACTAACAGCTATACACAGTTTGGAGAAAACAAAACCAGCGTCTGGTATCCCTCCCGTGGATGAGGAATGGCTAGATGAGGTGCAGGCAGGTGAAGAGGTGACAGTTTAGCGGCGCCTGTCGTACATCTGTATTGTGCTCCAGTCATAGGACTCTGCAGAGGGAGAACACTTGTTAGCTTTAGCACACATTTTGCCCTTTATCATTTTATTTCTTAAGGAAGAAGTGTGAGATGTGGCTTCAGACATAAGTAGAATGAACTGGAATTTGACTCACCTGGCTCCTCTTGGCTCCTTTTTCCCATCAGTCCAACAAAAGAGTTGACTTTATGCCCTTCAAAGGAAGATATTTTCATTTAAAACAATCCTCTCACACCATTTTGTCTTGTAACTTTACAGGAAAATGTTTTAAAGCTGACTGCAACTGGAGCCGTAACCAGAATTTTAGAATCACTGAACGCAAATGTTCAAAAACCCGCTCACAAAAAAGATACCGTAAAGAAATCTGCTAAAGTTTTTGATCATTCATATTATTTTTTCTATTTACATCTCATTGTATTCATTCATCTAAAAGTCTCCCCACATATTGGTCTAAGAGTTTTGTTACATCAAGGGTGTAATTCTGGGAGATTTTAATTTAATATCTTCAGAAACAAACAGATTTTATTTGCTCATTAACTTCAGTTGGCTTGTGAGTCATTAAAATCTCTGCCTCAGTGTGTATTGTGTATCTGCAGGTTGTGACCACTCTAACCAACATGTAATTATTCCACTCCAGACTGATAAGGCCCGAAGAGATGGAAAAAAAATGTATTCAATAAATAATAAACCTAATTGCATCTAGGATTAATGTTTTTCTGCTCCCACACCCTGTTAAACATCTTGCGGTCCCTCAGATTAATCTTGGGTCCCATTAGGAAGCAGATCAGCAGCTTGCAGCTCTGCACCACATGCAGCTCTTTCGCCCCTCTCCTGTGGCTTTGCAAAAAATTATATGGAAATTACTAATGGCTCATATTTAAAGGTCCAGTGTGTAGGATTAAAGGGGGGATAATTGGCAGAAACTGAATCTTTTATTTGGTGTATAATCACTCAAAATCAATCACATTCAAAAGAAGAACAAATCATTGTGTTTTCTTTACTTTATAATGAGCTCTTTATATCGACACAGGAAGCGGGTCCTTGTCTACGAACATCATTAAAACACTGATATTTAACGTGAAACTGCTTTATTCAGTGTTTTTACAGGTTTAAATCACCTGCTCCGTTTGTTTTGGAGAGGAAGAGACCTCTGCAGATAATTTGGCTCACAGTAAAAACCTCCCAAATGTCTGGATCTAAAGTTATCAGAGAACAAAGGGAAGCACACATTAGGAGGTGCTGGGCTAGCGACCCCTGTCTGACATGCCAAACAGCATCGGAGAAACACTGGTCTGTTTGTTCTGGAGAGGAAGAGACCTTGGAAAAATCAACAGTGAAGGAATTCTAACCAGGCGAAGTTTCAGCTTGTTGCAATTTGCAATCCTCGCCACTAGATGTCACTAAATCCCCCTGAATCTTACACACTGTTCCTTTAACATTTTAATTAGTATTTATCATTGTCGTTTGGCTAAAGCGATTCTTAGATTCTATACACTGAAAAAAATATTTAAACATTTTGGCGACTAAAACGTGCGTCATATGTCTCTGGCCTAGTGCCTTTTCCTCTAAATTTTTACGAACCTCAGCAGCAGTGCCTAGTCGAGGAAAAGCCGTGGATGAAAATAGAGAATTTAATAGTGCCTGGACGGATGAGTTTGCCTCCACCATCTACACTGCCAAGTTAAAACACTAAATAATCATAAATAGCCCGCTGAAGGGGCGCCACCTTGTGGTAAAACATATTAATCAATGCTATATCAGACCGATTAGCAGTGTTGATAGGCTAATTTAGACTTAATAGGCTGTGTTATCTTTATTATAAGGCTAAAAACATGTTTTGCAGCTCCTGACATTTTATTTATTTATTTTTTTGTGGCTTTTTTGAGCTCCCAGATAGGAAACTGTGGATTTACAACACCAACCATGTGTGTTTTGTGTTTAACTGTAGAATATAAAGTCGTCCTCAGGATTCCTTGACAGTGTGGCCATGACCTTGTTGCCCTCACTTGAAGCTACATCTTTGTTTGCAACACGTGGACTCTGAATATTTTACTTTAACTTCAGATCAGTGAGACCAAACTGAGCTCTGAGACACTCTGGGTCCTGTTGGGCTTGCAGCAGTGTAAATGTGACGGACAGTTGTATCGCTGGCTGACTGAGGCCTTTGTCAATCACAGTAATGGACTGTAATATGATCATGAGGAGGGGGCAGGGGGGTGTATTGGATTGGGGTGTTATAAAACTATAGGAACCCTGTGGGAATATCTCACATCACAAACATCAATATTTGCATTAGACTGATGAGAGCTCATGGCAGATATATAAAAATATGCCCTTGTCACTCAGAGCTGAACCTTAAGTTGGCTGAATCTATTTTCTTGCCCTGTCTCAGTCTTTGCCCGTTGTGTTTTGTTTAAGACAACAGTGGAAGAGTGGAAGGCATCCTCGTTATAACCCCTCCATCCATCACAAGCGTAAACAATCCAATTTAACTCTCAGATGTCCTTGGGGCATTGATCCCGGCTCTCTCCCTCTCCCTAATCATGAGTGACATACAGTCATGCCTGCATAAGAGGAATACATTAGATGTATACTTACTTATGCTGCACAGTGTTGCTCACTGAGTGGGTGACTAATTTAGACCAAAAAAAACCCTGACAGAGAAAAGAGAAAATCCCTTCCTCCTCATTTCTTTTTCCTGTGCGCTCTTTATCTCCTTCCTCTTTGTCACACACAGACGTCTGCTCAGGACCACCTTCCCTCCTCACTGACAAATTAATGTGGTCCGGCATTCAAAAGAAAAGCAAAAGCAATCATCTGTGGTCCATTAATTAAACTCCCTGAAATTGTTTTTCAGAATCACTGACATAAATATACGTAATAAACTCAGTTTGTAATGTTGTGGGCGAAATGTGAAACGATTTGCTTTCTCCCAGCGTGTTGTCACTGTGCGGGCTCGCTGGAACTCCACATCTGAAACCAAATGACTCACCCTTTCCACTTTTAGTGGGGGTGAGTTCATGTAAATGCATGTATCCCTTGAAACACCTGCTGGCTCCAGTCAAATACAGAAAACCCACAAACTCATCTGATTTTGACAAATATGGCTTCTCTCGTAGGCAACAGGATTCTGAACCTTATTGTTTCAGTATTATGAAGCATTTTAGACTCAGAGGGTTTCAATGGAGTTATTTTAAGCACAAGACACAGTAAGCAGGGGGCATAGGCTTAGATTTTCGGGGGGAAGAAGGGGACATTTCCCCCTCAGAATATAAAACGTGCATTTGTCCCACTAGACTTTCATTTTGACTAAATTAATGACATTTTAACCATAAATTGATTCAAAAAATGCGGAAATAACTGCATTTAAATTCACCAGAATGCAGAAAATTAAGTGTTTGATGCTTAACATTATCTGTTAGAGGACCCCCCCCCCCCAAACCCTTTGTTTCCTATATGTCCCTCCCAATATTGAAATAAAACCCACTGAGAACTCTGGCCTTGTGTTGTCTTTAATCTCTCCCAAAACTTGGGAGTTTTCGCAACTGGAGAGGGGTGTTACATTCTCCATTTAAAAACTTACACATGGAGGGTATTTCTTTGGCTGATCCAAGTATTTCTAGACCTCATATGTTTAAATGTGATCACTTTTAGGCCAACAAAAAGTGCTTGAGAAAGCATTAAGAATGTCATTTTTATGAATGAAACTTATAGAACAACTAAATAATTTTCTAAAGTCCAAATAAAGCATTTTAGAGATTAGATTTTTAGTGTCTGGGAGGTGAGAGGGGTGGGGGCTCCTCCTCCTCATGGCCTCAGTATCTCTAAAATTCTGGCAAAGCTCCTGCACAGTAGTACTTTCTGAACCCATAAAGTCCTTCAGTTTATCTGACGGATTAAGGAGAACCCTACTCTCACTGATCTTGGAGGAAAAATCTGATATCATACTTACTTTTGCGGGTGATCTGTGCATTTGCTGTGGGAGCAAAGAGAGAATCAAGTTTAAAAACCAGACCACAGATGAAAACTAAGTCTGTCTTATATGCAGAACGAGCTCTTACCCATGGAGCGTTTCCCCATCAGACCGATGAACTGATGCGGCCGTGGCTTTCTTGTCATCCTCAGGAGGATTTCTCTGAATGGGTCGTTGGAAAGCCAGCCATCCTGAGGGAGGAAGAAATCTTCATAAGTGTTCACCATGCTGGAGTGTGGAGAACCAGACTGGTGAGGAGTATTATAGTACAGTTCCTGTACCTAACGTCATTTACCACCAAAATGAAAAGGTATTTTTTATCTGATCAGAGTTAGAAATCATTAAATGTATGCCACCAAATTGTAGCTGCTGAATGCATCTTAATGTGACTTTTTTTGTCTGTTATGTAAGAGTATAATTGCACCCCCCACACCTCATCAGCCCACACACACAGGCATAGATTTCAGGGGGAATGTGGGGGATATGTCCCCCTCAATATTTAGAACATGTGCATTTGTCAAGAGGACTTTTATTTTGACACATTTAAAGACATTTTCACCATAAATAGATGCATTAAAGGCAAAGTGAAGCAAAAATATTCACCACCAAATTCACCACAATGCAGGAAATTAAGTGTTTGATGCTCAAAATTTCCAAAAAGAGGACCTTAAACCCTCCGTCTTATAAATGTCCCCCCTTTGCTGGAACAAAAGCTGCGCCCTTGCTGCACACATAAGCTACACAGAGCAATAATCCATATAAGGCTTGAATTTTGAACTTTCATTAAGTGTTTCTATCTCCATCCCAGGATATATTTCCACAGGATGCATTAGTCTGACTGAGATATGGACCTGGGGGCCACTAATGTCTCGCACATTAAGTTGTAATGATTTATTGCGGGCTCGTTCATCTGCAGAATGGCCCCAGCCTACAGTTTAGGCTACTGATGGAGCCGCTTGGCGCTTTTCCAACTTGCAATGTCAAACACAGGACGTGCGTTTCATGTCAATGGAGATTGTTTGGGCTTCAGCTCCTTCTATACTGTGCACTTAAGGGTTTATTTAATTTCCTGTTGGCTGGCTGCTCTGGGCACTGCAGCCGTCTCCATCATCATGATGGCTGTTACTGAGGCTTAAAGTATTCTCTTTAAGATTGTTTCACCTGATGCAAATCAGCTGGTGCATACTTTTCTATAATCAAGTATAAACAATTTAATGTATAGCTTACAAATTAATTAGCATCTGGTGTATCCTGTGTATCTCACATTAATGTAAGGAGAATGTATGATGTCTGCCGTGAGAGCAGATGGAGTAATCTCACACTGTAAATCTGTTTCTAGTTTTCGGAAATGAAGCTTGAACTGGTTCATTTTTTAGTCAGAGAACTGTCGGGATGGCAAAGTGTTAACAACTTTAATAACTTTCTATTGCACATTTCATGCAAAGGTGCAGCCCATGTTAGTACCCTAGTCTTTAAGTCTAATTAGTAGGCTAATAATTAATCGAGATTCTTCTCAAAATCATGGATTTGGAGAGCGCAAGGAGTGCGTAAAAATGGCCACATCTTTAAAAATAAAGTCTAAAAACATGCTTATGTCATTATTAATGCTCAACTTTAATACACGGCGGTTATTAGGTGGGTTCTAGTGATAGTGGAATTAAATTTACCTTAATAAAGTGACATCTCTGAGTAAAACCAAAAGCTAAACATCCAAATTTATCCAGCTATTAACTTTAATATTTGGGTTAAACAAACTTACAGTATGTGCAGGTTTATAAAACTTTCTTCCAGATGAAATTCTACTTAAAATATTTCTGATTTTTTTTTTATATATATATATATAATTACGGTATAAATATAAATACTTCAGGGTACCTGGATTTGGTTACTGCTCGCCCAGTAGTCCGCCTCTTCTTTTGGGTCGTTTTCCTCACAAAAAACTTGAGCAACGGCGAAAAATGCCATTAAAACAGGTAAAAGCAGCAACTTCATCATGACGCACCTGTTTCTTTTCCCGACAGTATAAGTTGGACTCACTGTTCTGTTAAAACAACCTCTGATACTCAACTTGAAAACAAAATAAAAAACTAAATGAGTAAGCTTGGAGGCACGAGCTGCAGCAGTTCTGTGCGCGCACTGCTTCTTCCCTCAGAGATCAACAGTAGTCCATAGTGCGTGCGTAAGTGCGTGCGTAAAACAGCGCCGTGCCGGGGATCCCGCCACTGTCTCCAATGCTCTCCGCGCGCTCAGCCTCTGCAGCAGCTTCTTCGGTCTCGTGCGTCCTCCTGTCCAGAGAGAGCCTTGCACGCGCTCCTATATAGCAGCCATTGCAGTAGTGGGATTACTCGCGCTCAGTCACGAATTCAGTAATATTTCTGTGTCGTTACAGTTACCAGTCAGACGCCCTTTGACATCACCAGCTGTGTGCGTCACTGGACATTCCCCATGTTTAACCAAGTCTAAATGTGACCTGAATTCATGATTAATGCTCAGATCGTGACATCATAACCTGCTACCTCTCCGCACTAATTTAGTAATGGCCTAATAATTTATCGCATCATAAAGCTCTGTGCAGTATCATCATGATAAACGGGCCTTGTGTGAGTTATCTTAAGATGTTATACGCCTTAAGGAGAGTGGAGGAGCTCAGTGTTGTGATCACGATTCATTTTTATCTCATCTATAACAGAGTCAAAGTCGCAGCTCTAAATACGCACAATCTACATGTAAAATTCTGTCACTTCTATATGATATTTTGGATAAAACTCACTTATTGTCGAGTATATTTCACCTTTCATGCACAAATGTGTCTGTGATCACATGACAGTTTAGAGGAAACTGTACTTTCTTGTTTTATCAACATGTTAAAAGCAGATATGACCATATGTGGAGCGGAAAACTTCACTCACATAATCACGTAAGGGTATGATGACGCACTTGGTTTCACGTAGTCTTTACTCCTGATTGCGTTGATGTCAGTGGCGGCCCCAAGAAAGGGCCATGGCCCCCCTGATACATTAAGCCCCCCCCCCCGCCCCCCCAAAAAAATAAGGCTGTGACACGTTAACTGTTTAGTGGTATCTGGTGAAACTAGACATCTAAGGCATCCATTGGTGCCAACCATGTCGGCATAGCTTGCCAAGAAGCAGGCCAAATAATGCTCCAAAATTAGGTTACATTGTCATGAGGTAAAAACTGGCATGGCCATTTTCAAAGGGGTCCCTTGAACTCTTACCTCAACATGAGTACCCACGAATGTCCCCTTAACTTGAGAAGACCTGTTCCCAGTAAATGTTTTCTTCCTTACAATCACTGAAAAGGACAACCAGCCTATTTGAAGAACAATGAATCACCTCACATGCATAAATACATCACACATTAAAAAAAGGATTGCTGTGAAACTCAAAAGCCCCGTTTCCACTGAGCAGTGCAGTTCACTTCAGTTTGGTACGACCTTTTTTTCTGTTTCCGCTGTGAAAAGTTGTGGATGGTACCAATAGAACCTTTCTGTACCGTCCCCATGTTTGGTCCCCCCTCTGTTGGGGTACCTAGCACACAGTTCTGGTACTAAAAGGTGGAGCTGTGAACACTGCTTTGACCATTACTTTAGTTTTATATGACATACATTTTAGTGATGAATGGATCAGGTGTTTATATATATTAATTTCGACCAGGACAGCATATATACTAATCCTCGCTAGGAGAAAAAAAAGCCTCATGGAGCATCGAGCTACAGCAACACTTAACCCCTGAGCTTGCCTGAGAAGGACTAAATGCACAAACCTGCTATTTTTAAATATCCCATATAGAGAGACTCACTGCAGCCTGTTTTGTTTTGAAAATGTCGGTGCGCAGCCTCGTTCTGTGGATGATAAACGAAGTGCAGACTTCCATCTGTGTCTCTGATAATGTAGTCTCGCCACCAGACAATCAGAGATCTCCGCCTTCTGATAGTCTGGGGACACTCCTTTCTAAAGTGTGTTTAACACACTGGCGAAAACGGCCGGCAACAAAGCAACGCCTCTTGCATTTTTGAAAAGGACTCGCCTTCTCTGAAATGTGTTCTCCTCCTTTTCTCGTCCTCAAGGAAACAAACACACAGAGAGCTTGAAAATGGATGCCGAGAGATTAAACTCCGCTTTATCAAACGTGTGCTCATCCGTAAGAAAATATTTTTTTTCCAGTGGATGTCTTAGTTACAACATTATTGAGCTAACTGGAGTAGTTTCATGTCGTATCTGACAACGGGAGGCTTTTAACAGATGACGTCCTGTTGTAGCTTTGCTGCTGCTGTTAGCTGTCCCTGTCAGCTGCAGCCACTGATGCTTTCTAGACATCGTGATTTCCCAAAACTGAATAAATACTAGGGGTGTAAATCACCAGCTTCATCACGATACGATATTATATCGATTTGTTTGGATGACGATACGATGTTTGCCGATATCACAAAGTCTGTCACGATACGATTTTGATTCGATTCGATTCAGGAGCCTGCGATCGATATGACGCGATATCATATGCCCATCAAACACAATCATTTACATCAACTCACAAAAACAACTAGAATATGATTTGACCATTTTATCTCTGAGCTCTGTTTGTTGTTTGAGCGGAGGCGCGCTTGCCCAGAAATGATGACACAGATGTGCTATGTGAATTTCAAAATAAATGTGTATCTTTAAGATGACGATATGGATCGATGTTTTCATTTTGCATCGATATAATCGGATCGTTAATCAATGAATCGATGTATCGATGTGGATCGAAGTATCGTTACACCCCTAATAAATACCACACATAGCAACACAAAACTGCTTTGCTAGGTCAATCATGTTGTAACTAAGATATCCACTGGAAAAAATATTTTTTTCACGAACCGTTTAATGAGTTATTACCTATTACAGACACTGCTAACGGCTAAGAAATAGTAATGTTTGTTCAATCATTGTGTTTATAGACTTTACAAACATCGGATTAGTCTAAACGGTGATACAGTGATGTGAAAAATTTGATATTGACTATATATATATATATATATATATATATATACACATACATATATATATATAAAAGCTCTGCTGGTTTTCTACCCGAAGTATTTGTAAACAACAAGGCGATTGCCTTTATAGTCCGGCCGGAGGGATGAGTCATGGCAAGATTATGTTTGTTTCTTTTAGTTGGCGAGAATGTGTCGCCGCAAACGCGACAAACATCCACTAACTTTGACGGCGTTTTCTACAAGAGCGGCTGAGCCATTTTGTACCGCTACACGTGTTTCTAGTGGGACTATGTTTACGAGCACAAGAGTTCAGCGAGCCACCGAAGGACCGTCCTGCAGATTTACTACTGGTTCTGCAACGTAGGGAGTTTTTTTAAACTCTGAAATTGTATCCGCCCATCTAAACACAAAATCAGGGAGAAAGACATCAGTCTTTAGTTAAGCAAAGCGTCTAAAGACTGACTTGTGAGTCTACTGATAATGAGCAAATACAGTGAGTGCTGGACGGAGCAGTGAGTGACAACAACTCCGCCCACATGAAAGAGCACTGTTTGGAAACGCTAGGGTCTAGGTACCATGTCTGAAGGGTTACTTTTGGTTCCAAAGGTACTATACTGAAAATGTTTGGTGGAAACGGGGCTTAAGTGTTAACTGTACAAGTATTAATCTATCTATATGCACATCAGATAATTAGTAACATTAACTCTAAAATAAGAAACCAAAGTATATCAGTATGATTCCTTATGTCTTCGTACTGACATAGTTTTCAACTAGCTTATATACTAACATCAAAAGAGAATGCCTGACATTGAGTTATGGTGATTGGATTTGGTGTTCCACCCCAAGATTTTCATTGGCTCCATCTGGCCGCCCCTATCGCAAATTTCTGGGTACGCTGTGTTGATATATTTTATTTTGTTAATTCATTGTAATTGTATTGTCTTTATATTGATTTTGGCTATGTCTTACACCCATATATCATCATATGTTTTATTATTTTACAGCTCAAAGAAGAAACTGTACCTTTACAAACCTCTCGTATCAAAGCCTGAATGGAAAGGAGAAGGTCGTGTGACCTGACAGTAACACTGATTTCCATTAGAAAAGCTGTTCTTTAAAAGAGTAGGATGTTCAGGATGAATAGACGACTATGCCGCCACACATAGTTCAATGTCCACGCACCTCAACGAGTGCTTGATTTGCCCAAGTGCCTTTATTCCATCAACAATATGTTCATTTTATTTACCCATGTGTTATTGCCGAATGCAAATGTTTTCCCTGGGGCTGGGAATGGAAAGTGTTATCATCTGTTTGTTCATTCGATCCAAGATGCAAATATTTATTCACATTAACACAAGTGTTTTCTGAAGGATGCTTTGGCCCTGTTTGACCTTAGTATTCTGTACATTTTGTTATTATTTCTGAGAGTTTAGAGCATTGAGTTCAAACATGCACATGATTAGATTTATTTTTTAAATTTCCATCATGGCTGATGGTGGGACACGTGAAGTGAAGAAGTCCTGTCGAACCTCCCGTGCAGGTGAAGTGACTGCGTATAGGTTTACACTAATATCCATTACTTATCTCTACCAGTGGGGTCTCTGTGGTCACAGCCACTGCGGACTAGAATTTGATCATCCTCACAACTGTGACAGCTCATCCAATTAACAGACGGAAGGGGGAGGTGAGGAGAGAAAGCTGGAGAGAGAGAGAGAGAGAGGTGATGGAGCTGTTGGAGCCATGGGAGGGAGTTACCACGGAGGGGGAGGATTGAGAAAGAGAGCAGGGTGCCGTCGAAGTTGGGGCACACTGATAAACAGATATGCACATCATGTGCTCAAACAGGACGTCAGTCCAGGGAGACTGAGAGGTGTTTGCTGCTGTTATCTCTGCAGAGGTAACACAATCAGATGGATTGCGTTGCTGGTCACTGTGGACGCTCCTCTCACTTTGATAAGGCATCCAGCAGCAAATGGGACTCTAAGATGCATGAATATATTAGAGCATAAGTTGATTTTGTGCATGGAATGAATCCAGAGCTGATCATTTGTTGGAAGAGACGTCTGAGTCAAAGCAACGCGGTGCCAATAGTTAATGCATGAGTGACTGGAATCAGAAAGTCCCTGGTGTAAACAGGAATCCTACCAAACATTCAATTTACCTTAAGATTAAACCAGCTGAGAAGATGCTACATGAAAACAGAACTGAAATATTAACTATCGTGAACAGAATTAGCACAAGGTAGATCCTCCATGAAAATGTAGACAGATGATAAACCCATGTATATTAGTGAACTGCAATACTT